AACATTATAGAAAAATGTGTAGTGACATCTGTCTTTCTCTCAGGAGTTTGTGTATTAAATTCCATTTCTTCTTATAGGTAATTGTTATTCATTTCCAGTTTGTCTTGCAGGATTTGTTTGTGCACATGTAAGGCAATACATACACTTAATTTTCTTCAATTGTACTTAACAGGAAATTTACAAGATTAAATGCTTGTATTAGATAAAAAGAAAAGCATGACATAAATGTTTATATGCACCTATTTTTACAAAACAATATCTTATATTGATATATTAATACATTATAGGGAATCCTGGTATGACACTGTGAGATAATGCACTGGACCAAAAGGTCAGTTTGAACTGCAAGGTCAGAGGTTCAAATTCACCAGCCACTCCTCAGAAACCCTATAAAGGGTCCCTATGAGTTGGAACTGACTTGATGGTACTTAGCAGTATATTAAAAGGGTCATCATTTGTATTTATTTACTTCTATAACTGCATACTTTTTCACTATTAAATCTGTTATGCATTGCTGATAACAAATTACTCTAAAACTTTGTAGTTTAAAACATTTATTATCCCAGTTTCAGTGGCCCAAGATTTCAGATCCAGCTTTCAGGGTGCCTCTGAGTCAAGGTCTCTCTCTCCCAGGCTGTACTCAACCTTCATTGGCTGGGACTGCAGTCATGTGACAGCTTGACTAGGGGTTGGCGTGGATGGCTTAGGGGACACTGCTTCTAAACTCACTCATGTGATTGCTTGGTGCCTTCTAGAATTTTAACAGTTTTTCAAAGAACCATCTTTTGGTCTCATTCATTTTCTCTATTGTAGTTTTCATTTTGTTTCATTGATTCCTACCCTTCTCTCTGCTTGCCTTGGATTTGCTTCGCTTTTTTTCTGTTTTCTTAAAGTGAACATTTAGATCACTGATGTAAAATTACCTGGAGAGGATGATCTAGGATGTTACTGTTTTAATTTCATACCCAAAGCTAAGATGGCTTAATGAAACATCTGCAACACATAGGAAACCAGTTTTAGGCAAGAAAACTACTTCTAAAGGGTGAACATTCGAATATGAATGAAGAGCCATTTTTTTTTACATTTACATTTCCTTTTAAGCACAAAGAATCCTATACATTTTAATATGCTGTGTTTTAATCTTCATCAAGCTACAAATTTTCTCTTGGAATTTTTACTTTGAACCAAGTATTTAGGGATTTGCCTGATAGCTGATTAATTTTTTAGTTTTATTACACTGTGGTTAGAAAATATACTTTGTCTAACTTCAATTTCTTTAAATTTGTTGATACTTGTTTTATGACTCAGAATAGTTTTTATCCTGGTGGATATTTTAAATGCCTGTTAAAAATAAGTATGTATGCTACTAAGATTGGAGGGGAGTCCTGGTGTGGTGCTACAGAATAAATACTGGACTGCTAACCCCAAGGTCAAGGAGCTCTGGTAGTGTAGTGGTTATGAATCGGGCTGTTAACCTCAGGGTCAGCAGTTCGAAACTACCAGCTGCTCTGCAGGAGAAAGATGAGGCTTTCTGCTCCCATATAGATTTACAGCCTTGGAATCCCTGTCCAGGGTCGCTATGAGTCAGAACCGACTCCATGGCATATAACAACAACAACAACAACCCCAAGGTCAGCAGTTCAAACCATCTTCTTATTCTATCAACTATTGAGAGATGATACCCCTGTACCAACATAAAAGGAATTGATCATGTTTTCTCCTATTATTTTCATATTTTCAGTTTCACTTTCCTATTTGAAACTATGATTCAAATGGAACTTGTCTTGGCATACACAAGGAGATGTGGTGCACTCAAACTTCTTTCTTCTTCTGTTTTAAGTATTTCAACATTAATAATTTTATGAGAAAATTATTTAAATGACTATATAAAATACCTAACACTAGAAAAATATCTAACATATTTAAAACTAAAGTGGGGAGACGATAGAGCAAGAAAATCATTTTTCCTAATGACAACATACTTTATACATATATTGTTGCTGTTGGTAAACACCATGGTATCAGTGCTGACTCACAGTGACCCTATATATGCATACCTATGTTGTTGTTGTTGTTGTTAAGTTCCGTCAAGTTGGTTCCAACTCATAGCAACCCTGTATAGGGTTTCTGAGGAGCGGCTGGTGAGTTTTAACCGCCAACCAGGCAGTTCAAACTGACCTTGTGATCCAATGTTTATCTTACAGCACCACACCAGGATTCTTGTAAATGGCTAATATTAATATTATTTTCTTCATCTTTATTAGAATCTTGTCACTCTGAATAACGTGAATTATTCTGAAGCCAGTTCTCTGATGATCTTGCAAAAACAAACAACAAAGACCATAAAAATATAGTTAACTTTGCAAACCACCAAATATGTCTCCTTATGTGAAATTCCTCAGATGTGCTACAACTTACTAGAATATCTCTTTGTACTTAATTTTCTTAGATTCACTAAAATATCTGTTTCCCAGTCACAAATCTTATACAAAAATAAGTATTTTATCTTATTTGGGATGAGGAATGGTCTAGGGAAAGGTCTGTAAAACATTAATAGCTGAGGACTGTGTTTGGGTTTTCTATCTCAAAAACTTATTGAGAAAATCAGAGAAGAAATCTAATGTTCCTTTACTAAAAATTAATAAGCATAATTTCACCCAATGATAAAGAAAGTATATACAATTATATATTAACTAGATTGTGTGAAACTGCATTTCAAATACAAAAGATTAATTTCTATTAGTGATTACATATAATTTGAGTTTTTAGGATACACACTATCATAAAAAATAGCCCTTCATTAATACCTGACATCTTCACCTTTTTAGAAGTAGTTGTCTTCCCTTTATTGATTTCCTATTTGTTGCAGATGTATCCTTTTAGTCATATGAGCTTTCGGTATGAAATTAAAACAGCAACTCCCTAGGTCATCCTCTCCAGGACTTTTCTACAAATCCAATTTAGGCCACTCCCTACTAGCTGCCATTAATGTTGTTAGTTGTCATTGCATCAGTTCCGACTCACGGGAACCCATGTGTGCAGAGAAACCCTGTTTCATAGTGTTTCCAAGGCTAAGGCTATTCAGAAGCTGCTTACCAGGCTTATCTTCCACAAGGTCTGTTCCAACCACCAACCTTCTTACCAGTAGTCATGCACTTAACTGTATAAGCCACTCAGGGACTCCTACAAATTACTAAAGATAGGGTTTCTAAAGCTCCTTGATGTAGCAGCTACTAGTCATTTCTGTCATCACACCTACTACTTTCAGGCTGGGCAGTGTTGCTCAATAGATACTTCCTCCTCACATTGCTTATATTGATCTCTCCTCTGGCATTACTGTCATTCTGAGTACTTGAGTCTGCAATTTAGGAAAGCAGTTTTTCACAGTTCAGACTTAAAATAGTATCCCTGATCAAGATGACTTTCTTTCCAGTTGATGATGACAGAGAGCCATAAGGAATCTACTTGCTTTTTCAAATATCATCCCACGATATCACTTCAACGCCTTTGTACTTGCTAGTCCTTCTGTCTGGGTGTATCACAAGGTCATTCTCTGACCTCATCTATTCTGTTTAGTACTACCTACTCAACAAGGACTTCCCTGACCAACTAGTAAAATGCACATCGCCTAACTTCTCTCCTAGTATTCCCTATCCTCCTTCCCTACATATTCTCCTCCATAGCACTTATTTTCTAATGTATTTTCTAATACAACAACTCACTGATTTTGTCTTTGAGGATCACCTCCCTGGAATGTAAACTCAGTGATAGTTGGGACTTCATCTGCTTCATTTACGTTGGATCCCCAGTACCTAGAAATTTGCTGGCATGAAGTAGATGCCAAATAAATAATGAATGAACAGTCACTTGGAATGAAGCTTCTCACTGTTTTGTTTTTTTTAAACTATGCACACAAGCTCTAGGTCTTACACAAAGCAATTCACATTTAGCTCATGATGGAAATGGTGCCACTTCCTTCTGCCAGGACCTAACTTGAAACACATATGACTTTCATTTCCCTAGAGAAAGGAGAGATAGTCCCCTGTTCTGCTTCCTCTTTCCAAGAAAACGTAATGTAGCTTTTCCTCAGCAACCAGCCACCCCCAATTAACCCATTGGTTTCTACTTTATTGGAGCTCCGGACACTGTCCCAATACCTGTGTTGTGGGACCTTTGTTCATATGTACTATGAAATACTTTAAATCTTTCAAAACTGTTTAACCATGGAAAAATTGCTATAATTTTGACTACTTAAGTAACATTAAATTTATATTTACTTATATATATAAAAGTATTCAACCATAAATTTAATAGTATAATTATATATATTTGAATAAAATGTCACAATAAAACCTTTTCAAAGATATTTATTTTAGTAATAAAATATAGCATTAGAGAAATTTTACTGTGCATATCTTTTGATCTTAAACATATATACTGTCAAATACATATACATATATATGTATATATATATAAAGAATACACATTTTTCTTTCATGAAAGAGCTGTGCTTTCAAAGGCTTTTAAAAAGGCAAAAACAATTTTAAGTTTCTCTTAGAAAATGACACTGAAGAGTTAATTACATTAAAAGTCACTTTGGCTAAAGAAGGAAAACAATAAACTTTTAAAACCAGATTAGCATAAACCTTACTGCAAATCTAAATTGTTTTTGAACACAACACATATAAAAGAGAATAACCTCAAAGACATTACAGCTTTCTTCTCTGGTACTTTAAAAGAACAATTTTGGCTCAATGAGGACTGAATTAGAAAATTTCCTACTCAATGAGTCCCGCTAGATTACACAAAGCTTTTTCATTTTAACAGAGCATATAAAAAGATACAAATCAGCTTCCAGAAGAGCTAATATTGATTACTCCATAACAAAAGTTTACTTCAGGTCATTTTAATATATTGGCATTAGAAAAATCAGGTTTAAACAGATTTTTAAACATATTCTAGGTAATAATAATAAAAAAAAATAACCATATGGTCAAAGCTAATTTTCTAAAACAAACTAACAAAAAATTTCCCCCCAGAACAGTAATGGAACAGCTACTCTATTTTTATATTCTTGTATAAAAATCAGTTTTACCACTTTTTAGAGTCCCAACCGAGGAACCAGCCTGTGAATGTGGATGGCTCATGGCCCTGTTTTATGATGACAACTGGTGTTCTCTTATCTCTTCCAGAAGGGTCTGTTTCAAGGTACATTTTGGCTAAAAAGAGTTGCAAAGACATATACATTTAGTTAGTTTTGATTAAATGAAAATAATTTTACAGTGAAAATTCTTCCAATAAAAGTAATGAATCAAATTTTCATTGTACTCAATAAACCATATACTATGCCATTTGAGCAATTTCTCAGCTGCCATGGAAAGTATCATAAGAGTCTTTCATTATTGCCTGAAAGGCTTCCAAGCTCTATGAAATTATATTTATGGCATAATTATCCATATCCTCTTTAATACAAAAAATTATAAGAAAGAACATTTCTCAAAAGAAAACTGAAAACTCTAAATTATCAAAGTTAAAGAGATTTTACTATTCCAATAATAAAATAAGGTTTAAGTAGATTAAAATTTGTCAGAATAAATTAAATATAATTATATTCTAAATTAAGTAGCAAAGCTTCTTTTTGGCCTTCTATTGTTATTTGTCTTGTTCTCATTTTAAAACCCTTCAGTTTGAAAAAAAACACAAAAACCATTATGTTTTAGTTCTGAAGCTAAAAGACATATTTTCTTGGTTATGATATGTATTTTTGCAGGATACGATGGAAAAATGTAGTAAGCTATTTGGTCAGAAATATCCAGGTTTACTGGATGGTTCATAGGATATAGCTTACCAGACTTCAGAGATTCTGTTCGCTCAACTTCATTGGCATCTTTACCAATCCAAATAAATATCTGAAAAACAAATAGTAACAATAACGTGAGTTTATTGGGGAGTGTTGAGGACCAACTATGCAAAGTGTCTCATACACACTGCTCATTTAATCTTCATAACAACCCCAGAAATAAGAGCTGTGGAGACAGGGCTCAGAGATAGTCATTCACTTGCCCAAGAGGGAAGAGGTGTGGAGAACCAACCAAAAACAGTCAAATCCAGGCGGATGGATTCCAGATTGCATACTTGACTATTTATGTTTATATGGTATTTTATACTTTTTAAAGCAATCTTTCATAAAAACAGCATATTTGCTGGTTTGGAGTACCAGTCCTCTGAGGTTGCTTAGGGTCATCATTAAAGTTCCATGGGCTGCCAAAAGAACCTATAGATCCATTTTGGAAGAAGTGCAGCCAGAGTGCTCCTTAGAGGTGAACATGGCCAAACTTCATCTCTTATACTTTGGACATATTTTTCAGGAGGGACCAATCTCTAGAGAAGGATAACATGTTTGGTAAGGTGGAGGGTCAGAGAAAAAAAGGAAGACCCCCAACGAGATGGACTGGCCATGTGGCAGCCTCAATGGACTCAAGCGTGGCAACAGTACTGAGGTTGGCCCAGGATCAGGCAGTGTTTTGTTCTGTGGTGCATAAGGTCGCTATGGGTCGGTACTGACTCAATGGCACCTAACAACAACAGATGAGGATATAGGATTGGGGGTGACCACAGCTAGTCCCAGAGCTTGTTTGTAGATGGCCCTAAGCTCTTTAGGATCCTCTGACTTACCTCTTATAGTACTGTGCTCCTGTCCCACTTTGGTAAAAATTCTATCTAAATAAGTTAAATAGTTGATTTTTTTAAATGATGTAATTATGTATTCTGCATGCATTCTTTACCTTGTCAAAAATGTGTGGGCTGAGTACTTTAATGCTAAAAAATTCTCCCAAATTACCTTATGTCTAAAACACTTTAAATTCATTTTGTTCAAGCAATTTTAGTCAAATTAAGTTCTGAGTGTATTCTAACTCACATGGAAAGTGCTGGAATGTTTGTTGGCAAGGCAGAGAACAAGCCAGGACAGTATGGCAATATAAGTGAATAAGACTATATATATATATTTTAAATGAAATGTAGAATGAGAACTATTCAAAAAGTATTTGGGATTACCAAATAACAGAATTGATTACAAATAGGAGTAAATGCATCTGAATATGGAAATATACATATTTAAAATAAATGAAAGTGTTTTATTAAGATGGGTTTTAGAATCTCTCATCTAGAAGTGAATACTCTTGGGAAGGACCCATGATTGGATCCCCAATTCAAATGTTACTTTTAGACTGAGAGTTAAGATAGAATAATACAATGGAATGACTCAGCAACTAGAAACAGACATCTCTGTGGATGAATCTAAGATTGGGCCTCAGGCATGTAAGTGTCTAACCATATAACTTAGCTGATAACATACTTATTTTTTCCTTTTATGATTCTAAGTATACACTCAAGTTAAGAGGGGAAAGGATGATCAGCTATGGTCCGTCAAGTCACCATCCCCACATATATAAATGTTAACAGATTCTATCTACTCTGTGTGGAATCCTAGTGTGGCACTATAAAATCAACACTAGACTGCTAATCACAAAGTTGGTGGTTTAAACCCCCAAGCCATTCCATGGAAACCCTATACAGACAGGATCACTATGAGTCAGAACTGACTCAATAGCACTTATACCACTGCATTTTACTGTGAAGATTAAAACCCATTCTATGTCTGTTCCCATTTCTTTCTCTACTCTAAGGTATAGGTTCCCTATATAACTTATTATCAGATCTCAAGGGAATTTCTAGTTCCACAATGACATTAAGCCCAGAAGTCACTTGATACATTTATTCGTTATATAAGTATAGATATAGACATAAGGAGCTCTGGTAGTGTAGTGGTTATGAATTGGGCTGTGAACTGCAAGGTCAGAAGTTCAAAACTACCAGCTGTTCCGCAGGAGAAAGATGAGGCTTTCTGCTCCCGTAAAGACTTACAGCCTCGGAAACCTTGTACAGTGTCGCTATGAGTCAGAACCAACTCCATGGAAAAAACCACCAACACCATAGACATGAGTAAACAAATGAGCAAAGTTTACAAATGGATGAAAAACAGGCAGGTAGAAACGTTTTGCCTACAACTAGCATCAAAGACAGGAGTCATAGCATAATTTACTTATTAAGAAATTGACTTTCCCCATGTATTCATTTTACTTTCTGCCAATATGTATTGAATCTCTTTGAAACCTTACCTAAATCCCTAGACCCAATGATTAGACTTGTCATTTTTTTAAAAAGCGGGTACCTGTCAATACCTGGCCATAAGTACACTCTCTTGTTTTGAGTAAAATATAGTTTTACCTGTTCCCAAGTATCCAGTAACATGACATCATCTTCTGCTAGATCATCTTGGGTGAATTCTCCTGGAACCTCCTCAATCTGAAATGTATTAAGATACTTTATGATAACACATTATTTTAGAGCTTAGCTAAAATAAAGTTTTCCCTTTCCTTTATCGTAATAAAGATTTAAATGATTGTCCATGCATTTAATCAAACATCACTAACTTGTTGCCTGCAGGGTGTCTTCTAAGCGCTTTGTTTAATATAGGGATACAGACAGTGCTGTGAGGTAGGTGTTGGACTGTTAACTGCAAGGTTAGCGATTCAACCCACCAGTTGCTCTGTGGGAGAAAGATGAAGTTGTCTGTTCTTGTAAAGATTTAGTCTTGTAAACCCTATAGAGGGTTGCTATGAGTGGGAATTCACTTGATAGCAGTGGGTTTGGTTTGGGTTTGTGATGAATGTAAACACTGAGTTTGAATGCCTTTTGGGAGGACATACAGCTGCTCCTTGGAACTGACTCGAGGGCACTTAACACGAACAACATTGTCAATTTGACTATAGTTCTCTCAACCTCCAGCTCTATACATTAAGTTGTTTAACATATTATTTTGTCTATCTAGTACCTAGGTGGGGCACTGTAGGACAAGTGCTGAACTACAAGGTCAGTTCAAATAGCAAGGTTGGCAGTTCAAACTCACCAGCCACTCCTCAGAAACCCTATACATGTTGTCACTATGAGTCGGAACTAATGTGACAGCACTTAAGTACAACAACCTAGCATCTACAGATATTTGAGTTTATAGCTTGGGTATTAAATTCTCTTTCATTTTATAGGTCAAGACTATTTTGATATAATCAGTCATCAAGGTAATAGTAATTATTATGTTATAATGTCATTGTCAATAAAATAACAATATCCTACACATAAAAATCATTTTTATTCTTAACAGGTTAAATTATATTATCATTTATTAGCATTAAATGGTAATGGGATGGATTAGTTTAATCTTCTCCAAATCCAGTGGACATTTGTTAAACTGGGTTCAATCTTTTTAAAGAGTTGAAGGAGGATTAAAAATCCTAGAGAAGTTTTAGAGATTCCTGAGGATCAAGAAGGTATGATCAAATGAATTATGATTTCCAGCTCTTCAAGCCCTCAACCATGTGACCTTGCAGTGCAATCAAGTTGGTAGAGTTGACTGTGGTTTTGGTTATAGGACAGACTTTTTGGTCAGGTCATATTAGTAAATGTGACTTGCAGGGGCCCTCTTATGCTCCTGGGCTCTGCCATATTAAAAGCCGCATGAAACCAATCTGCAGCCTGAATCAAAACCTGCCAGTTGAGACCAGCCAAGATAAGTCAAGTCTCAAGGAGCCTGCAAAGCTGAGCATGTTTGTTGTTACAAGTTAATGCACTTTTGAGATTGTTATACAGAAAACAAGATCTGGCCATTTACAGGTGGCACAAAATCTGATTATGCAATCTTTATACAGAATATATACTAATCATCAAAATGATTTATTTTTTAAATTCACAAATATCACTTACTCTGTACCAGACATTGCTGTAGTGTTTTATATCTAAAAAGCTCATTTAATATTCATAGCACCTCTTATGAAGTAGGTACTATGTGTTCATTTTACAGAGGAGAAACAATGGAACAAAGATGGCAAGTAATCAGCCTATGAATATACAGCTTAGTAAGTAAAATCATCAAGATTAAAACATAGAAGAGTGGTCCGAAGTACTGTTCTTTTTCTTAAAGGGATTCTAATCCAAGGAGGAATTCCAATGATCAAAACAAGAAATTGAGTACATGAAGAGGAAATGAGCATTTCTCTTAAAGGCTAATATATGTGCACGATGAGAGAACAAAGATTAGTAAACTCATTTTGAACCTGAGGACAAAGCCTAGGTAATTAACTTTAAAAACCCTTCAGTGTAATTAAACATTTAATTTATAGCAATATTGTTGCTCCTGTTGGCGGTGGCATTAGGTGCCACCAAGTCCATACTGACTCATAGTGATCCTATGCACAACAGAAAGGAACATGGCTTGGTCCTGGGCCAACCTCACAATTGTTGTTAAGCCTGAGCCCATAGCTGCTACCACTGTGCCAATCCATCATATTTGGGATCTTCCTCTTTTTTTGTGACCCTCCACTTTACCAAATATGATCTCCTCCAGTGACTGGTCCCTCCTGATAATATGTCTCAAGTATGAGAGGTGAAGTTTGGCCATACTGGCACTCTGGCTGTACTTCTTCCAACACAGATCTGTTTGTTCTTTTGGCAGCCCATGGTACTTTCAATGTTCCCCCCCAACACCATAACTCAAATGAATCAATTTTTCTATGATGTTCCTTATTCACAGTCCAACTTTTGCATGCATATGAGGTTACTGAAAATACCATGGCTTGGGTCAGGTGCACCTTAGTTCTCAAACAGACATCTTTATTTTTCAACACTTTAAAGAGGTCTTGTGCAGCAGATTTGCCTAACACAATATGTCACCTGACTTCTTGACAGCTAATTCCATGTGTGTTGATGGTTGATCTGAGCAAATGAAGTCTTTGACTTCAATCATTTTTCCATTTACAAGAATGCTGTTTATTGATCCAGTGGTGAGGATTTTTGTTTTCTTAACATTGAGTTGTAATCCATACTGAAGGCTGTGCTCTTTGATCTTCATCAGAAAGTATTTGAAGTCCTCTTCACTTTCAGCAAGCAAGGTTGTATCATCTGCATATCACAGGTTGTTAATGAGTCTTCCTCCAATCCTGATGCTACATTTTTTGTCATATAACCCAACTTCTCAGATTATTTGCTCAACATGCAAAATGAATAAATATGGTGACAGAATACAATCCTGGCACAGACCTTTCCTAATTTTAAATCATTTGGTGTTTCCATGTTCTGTTGGAGAACTGACTCTTGTTCTATGTACATCTTACTCATGAACATAATTATGTGTTCTGAAATACTCATACTTTGCAATGTTGTCCATAACTTGTCATGATCCATACAATCAAAAGTCTTTGTGTTATCAATGAAGCACAGGTAAATATCATTCTGGTATTCTCTACTTTCTGCCAAGATCCAACTGACGTCAGTAATGATATCCCTCGTTCCACATCCTCTTCTGACTCCAGCTTGAACCTCTGGAAGTTCTCTGTCAATGTACGGTTGCAGCCATTTTTTACTTATTACCTTTAATAATTACCTTTAATTGCATGGGATATCAATGATATTGTCAGATGATATCCACATTCCATTGAATTACCTCTCTTTGGAATGGGCATGAATATGGATCTCTTCCAGTCAGATGGCCAGGTAGTTGTCTTCTAAATTTCTTGGCATAGATGATTGAGAGCATCCAGTGTTACATCAGTTTATTGAAAGATTTCAATTTTTATTCCATCAATTCCAAGTGCCTTGTTATTTGCCAATGCCTTCAATGCACCTTGGACTTCTTCCTTCAGGATTGATCCTTGGCTCTTGATTACATGCTAACTCATGAAATAGTCAAACATCGACCATTGCTTTTTGGTACAGTGATTCTGTTTTCCTTCCATCTTCTTTTGATGTTTTCTGCATGATTCAATAATTTGCCCATTGTTGTTGTTATGTGCCATGGAGTCAAATCCTTCAATATAGCAAATCAAGGTTTGAATTTTTCTTCAGTTCCCTCAGCTTGAGAAATGCTGAGTGTTCTCTTTTGGTCACTGAAAACTACTAAAGTCAGTGATAATGAAACTGAAGAATTCTATCAACTTCTTCAGCCTAAAATTGATCAAGTATGCAATCAAGATGTATTGATAATTACTAGCATTTGGAATGCAAAGTTTGGAAACAAAGAGGAAGGATCGGTGGTTAGAAAATATGGCATTGGTGATAGAAACGATGCTGGAGATTTTATGATAGAATTTTGCAAGACCGTTGACTTGTTTGTTGCAAATACCTTTTTTAAACAAAATAAAAGACTCACCAGATGGAATACATAGAAATCAAATTAACTAAATATGTGGCAAGATATGGTGGAAAAGCTCCATGTCATCAGCCAAAATAAGGCTAGGGGCATACTGTGGAACAGACCATCAATTGCTCATGTGTAAATTCAGGCAAAAGTTGAAGAAAATTAAAACAAGTCCAGAAGAGTCAAAATATGACTTTGAATATATCCCACCTAGTCATATGCACAACAGATTTGATGCATTAGGCAGTAAAGACCAGAAGAGTTGTGGGATAACATAAAGAACATCACACAGGAAGCAAGCAAAAGGTCATTAAGAAGGCAAGAAAAAAAAGGAAAAGACCAAAATGGATGTCAGAAGAGACTCCAAAACTTGCTCTCCAGCATAGAGAGGCTAAAGCAAATGGAAGATGAGATAAAAGAGCTGAACAAAAAATTTTCAAGACCAATTTGAGAAGACAAAATCAAATATTATAGCAAAATTTTATTGTTGTTAGGTGCTATCAAGTAGGTTCTTAATCCAGTGACACTATACACAATAGAATGAAACACTACCAGTCCTGTGCCATCCTCACAATTGTTGTCATGTTTGAGTCCACTGTGGCTGCCACTGTGTCAATCCTTCTTGTTAGGGGTCTCCCTGTTTTTCATTTAACCTCCACTTTCCCAAGCATGATGTCCTTCTCCAAGGACTGATCCCTCCTGACAACATGTCCTAAATATGAAAGAAGTCTTATCATTCTGGTTTCTAAGGAGCATTCTGGCTGTACTTCTTCCAACATATATTTCTTTGTTCTTCTGACAATATTCATCAACACCGTAATTCAAATGCATCAATTCTTCGGTTCTGTTGTATAGCCACCATATACAGGGTTTCCAAGGAGCGGCTGATGAGTTTGAATCGCTGACCTTGTGGTTCCAACTGACCTTGTGGTCTAGTGCTTTATCCCACAACGCCACATCAGAACTGCAATTCTTCTCCAGTCTTCCTTATTCATTGTCCAACTTTCATATGCATATGAGACAACTGAAAATTATGATGGATTGTTAGGTGCACCTTAGTCCTCAGACTGACATCCTTGCTCTTCAATACTTTAAAGAGGTCTTTTGTAGCAGATTTGCCTATGCGATATGTCTTTTGATTTCTTGACTGCTTTTTCCATGAGTGTTGATGGTGAATCCAAGCAAAATGAAGTCCTTGAATTTCAATCTTTTCTCAGTTTGTCGTGATGTTATTTATTGGTCCAGTTGTGAGGATTTTTGTCTTCATCACATTGTAGCCTTTAATCTTCATCAGTAAGTATTTTGAGTTCTCTTTGTTTCCAGCAAGAAAGGTTGCATATCATAAGTTGTTATCCAACCCTTGTGCCATTTTTTCTCCTGGATAATCCATTTTCTCAGATTTGCTCAGCATAGAGATTGAATAAATATGGTGAAAAGATACAACCCTGATGCCCACCTTTCCTGAGTTTAAACCATTCAGTGTCCCCTTGTTCTGTTCTAGCAACTGCCTCACATCTATGTTCAGGTTCCTCATACGCACAATTACTGAAATACTCATTCTTCACAATGTTGTCCATAGTTTGTTATGACCTACACAGTTGAATGCCGATAAAGCACAAGCAAACATCTTTCTTGAATTCTCTACTTATAGCCAAGTAGAAAACCCTCATTCCACATCCTTTTCTGAATCTGACTTAAATATCTGGCAGCTCTCTATTGATATATCGCTGCAACCATTTTTGGACTATCTTCAGCAAAATTAGCTTGTATGTGATACTAATGATTTTGTTTGATGATTTTCACATTCCAAATGAATAATATCAATATTAGCAAATAATATTAATGAAAAAAATATAGAAACATATGGTAAGAAATAAGTTTTGGGGATTCACTATCAGTCAAAAACACTAGAATAACAAGTTTATGAAATACAGGAAGTGCTGAGATTTCCTGCAAAGTAAGTGAGCAAATGAATCAGGGTGGTGTCTAATAACCAAATATTTCTCACAATTGTCTTTTATATCTTATTTTTTATGTCAATTTTTTTTTTTTTTCGTTTTAAGTGTGGTTTGTATATGAACAGTTTTTTCTTTAAAGAATTGTTGTTGTTAAATGCTGTCAAGTTGGTTCTAGCTCTTAGAGACCCTGTATAGGGTTTCCAAGGAGCAGCTGGTGGGCTTGAACTGCCTACCTTGTAGTTCACAGTCAAATGCTGATCCTACAGCAGGAGTTCAGACCAGGGCACATGTATGCCAAAAAGAAACCTTCGAAGCACTATACTTCTTATAATCGATGTGCCTATGAAAGTACTTGGGGGATTTTCTTGTGTGTATATTGAAAAATAGAGCTGTATTCACTAGGATGTATTGACCAAGCCTGTAGATCAAATTGTACATAGACATGGAATTCATCCTCCAAATGAAAAATTAAACCAAGCATGTCAAACAAAAAGCAGAATTTTACTGGTTAAACTAGAGAGAGGGGCTGTAGCCCAGATGATATCAGCTCCCAGTATAAAATCACTCTAATATACAGATACTATTACCCTAAGTTGCCTGAAATTCAAAGCCTGTGAATAATTAGGAGATAAAAATTCCTGCCAATTTTAGTTAATTTGCAGGTGCATCTATAGCTTTCTGTGATTTTTTCCAATGATCATAATATTTCCATAATATTTTTATTCAGTCAATATGATGAAATTTTTTATTCCTCTGGGAAATTCAAGTGTAAAATTTGCATAGTTTGAAATCAGACACAACTCTTGCTGCCCACAAAAAGTATCAAATTATTAAATTAGCAATCACATACATATTCATGCAGAACCTACCCCAGGCTAGCACAGGTGCAAAGTAGATCATGATTAGTCGCTGATATTTTCAAGAGTAGCTTGATTTAGATAGTGCATTACAGAACCCCTCCTAATGCCTTCACAGGAGTCATTGGGTGGCACAAAGAGTTAAGCACTCAACTACTAGCTAAAACATTGGTGGTTCAAACCCATCCAGAGGCATTTCAATTCCACAGGCATGGTGATCTGCTTCCAAAAATCACTGCCTTGAAAATCCTAGGAAGGTTTTCTAGATGAACTCCCAAAACTATTGCCCTGAGATACCCTTTAAACTTACAATGAACCTTCCAGTTTTGTTAGAGCAGCCGTAAAGCCGAGGAGGATGGTCTTCAGCCTGGGTTTCTAGCAGTGGTGAGGTCTGGTAGACTTTTTTCCCTCCAAGGGAACTCCAAAATTCCTCTGTGGAAAACACATTGAGTTATCCAATGCATTAACCGGAGCATATGATGTTACTGCTCTACATTGGCAAATATTATCTTACCATGACTTGCTTAAGTATGACTGGGCATTATTGCCTACTTGACAACTATGGAGGTATTCTTAATCCCTGATAACCATTAAAAAGTTACTGTTTATGAAGAAATAAAGTATACAACTAGCAATCATTCCAACTATAATTTCTGGTTCGTTCCTTTGCCTCCATAGTACACACCTGGTTCCTCTCCTTCCTGAATTCTTGAGGTTTTGCACTTGAGGACTCTTGCTATATAATCTGCTCCTTTCTCCTCCTCCTGGCTAGCACCTCTTCCTATCCAGATGTAGCCATTGTTTTGTTGCAGTTTCAGAACAAAAACATCATTGGAATTCAATGAATTTGCATCAACATCAACCTAGAGTATAAAAGGGAAATGACACAATGATTTCAATTCATCACTGCTGACCCCGTTCAACGTGTCCCAGATGCTTGAAAGTGACAAACCATCATCCTCTCTATTTTAATCCAAGGAGAAACTAATTTGGGCCACACAAGGACCATAATGTTTGAAACATTAGCATGGGCGCACTTTGGTCTGTGTCACTTTAATACCCAACAACACAAGGGTCTCAGAACAAAATTAGGCAAAATTAAGTGACAATGAATTGAAAATTTGGAAAAGTACTGAATTGGAAAAGTATCAAAGATAATTTTCAAAGATATCCCAAGAACAAGGATGAGTTATAACTGTTTGGAGAAGGACATTTAATATTCACAAACGAGAGAGATACAGCAAAGAGTTTTTATGACCCCACAAAGAATAAGGTTTATCAAAGAATCAAATGGAAATCTAAAATTTATTTTTAAAAAAACTTTTTTTTTAAAGAACTAGAGTTCAAGGTAGGCAAAGATATATTATAGACACACTAAGGAGTCCTGGTGTGGCGCTATGAGCTAATGCGTGAGACTGCAAAGTTGTTTGAACTGCAAGGTCGGTCTTTCAAGCTCACCAGCTGCTCCTTGGAAATCCTACACAGGGTCACTATGCATTGGAATCGACTTGATGGAACTTCACAACAACAAGAAGTAAGGTACCCAGACTCAGGTAAATTATACTCAAACTATGAGACCTGTCTATAGGGAATAAAAACACAGTACTTGTTTTTAATTTCCTGTAAGCTTCTTTCCTTTAATACTTCTTGCCTTCAACCCATAAGTTGTGAGCCTGTTCAGGTTGTATTTAGGATCATCTAATGAGTATAATTTTGGTCCAGGTGGCCTTGGAGGACTGAGACAGGTCTGGCAAGGTCCAGAGTCCAGATTATGGGTGAGTTTGTGAGTGGAACCTTTGGGCAAGGGCCAATTAGGTGCAGAGTCTCAGGTTTGATAATGAGTATGAGTATCCTAGAATGGGCTTTTGTCACTCTGGGAGAACCTGTCTGACCAGATGGCTGTGTGACTATCTGCATGACTCTCTAGGAGACTGTGGGACTAGTGTAAACATCTGCACCTAGGGAAATGAAGAAGAATCTGTAAGCAAGACAGGAAAAGCAGCTGAGAGGGAGGAGGAAATCACAAGTGTGTGGTGTTCTTGAAGCTGAGTGAAGAAAAATATTTCAAGGAGACAGTGATTAATCAAATGATGATGTTTGCTCAACCACACTGAGCTGCCAGTTGGATTTAACTGTGACTGGATTTGTGTCAGGACCCTGTCCTAGAAAAAATGCTAGAGGAAGAAAGAATGGCTGTCAGAAGTTCTAAAGACATGTTCCAGGGCTTTACAATGCATAGGCAAGTGTGATAGTCTTCTCCTAGACTTAAAGGACTTTATACAGTCATGATGATGGAGAATGAAAGAAACCCGGTTTTCAGGATTTCAGCTTTATAAACCAATGTGGCTTTATTGATACAGAAGGCGGGGCAGTCATAGTAAAAGGAGGTTAGGGGGAAGGAGTTTTAGAGAAGAGGTTGAGGGTGGAAGGAAGCAACGGCCCACCCAGTTTTGAGGACTCTACTGACTGGCTTGTACAAATAGAAAAGATTAGAAGATTCATCCAGGTTTGGGGACATGCAGAGTGAGCATGACAGTTTGGGGGTGATTTAGGATACCTGCAAGGATTTTCATTATGACTGAGGTGACTGGGATACAAAAGAGGAAGGGACTCTACTGAAATCTAAGAACCTAGAGATCTTGTCTTCTGGCACCATAACATAAGCTTTGATTTCTTTCACAGCTGCTGTCAGAGACAGCTCATTTGGCCAGTTAAGTTATGGTTCTGATCCACTGTGGCAAAGCCTGCTTCCCACATTTGTTACACATGTGCAAACAAGGCCTTCTTTCTCAGATTCCCCATGTGGCCACCTGACCATCACCCACCATCCATCTTGCCCCAGGCCTTTCAAGATAAAGCTTAAGCTGTCTTATGCCTTTGACAGCTTGATTTGTTGTATTTTTCTTAAAATTCATTTGTTTGGATACAATGTAGTTGAAAAATGTGAGAGGTCTGCTATCTGGAATTTAACCTTCCACTCATCGCTCTTGATTTTAATTGTTTTTATGGTAGACATGGATTAATTACAGAAATGAAGGGAATTCCCTTGCCAGTTTTTAAAAGACTAATAACTGTTGACAGCCCTGGTCCACTGGGAAGTCCATAAGCAGGGCAGGTTTTAATGAATGCATGACATTACCTCCACAATTCTGGTGATAGACGCCAGGTTTCTCCGGATTTGAAAGAGGCGTATAGGGGGAGCAGGTGCCTGACCTCCTTTCTTTGATGTTCCATTCTTGTAAATAATGAGTGGTTTCTCTTTGAACAAACTCAGCAGGTGAGAAGGCTCCTTGCCTTGGGAGACTCGGATCTGGGGGGTGGGGGTGGGGTGGGGAACACAATGAAAAAAAGAACTATGGTAAAAGGTGCAATGAAAGAAGGTTGTAATTCCAAATAGGGTTTCCCTTTATTTTGAAAATAAAAACAAACAAGTAAGGAGCCACGAGAATGATGATTATTAGAAAACAGAGATTAATGTTAATCAAGCAGAGTTTCCTAGTTGACCTAAGGGTCTTGAGTTTGTTGCTTAAACACGGCATCTCTAAACAGTTTCTTGTCAGTGGAAACATCACCCTACCACAACACTTTATGCTTCCAGAAAGAATAAGAAAGTAAGTTTGTTCATCTCCTTTAGGGAGCTCTAGTAGCTCAGTAGTTATGAGGTGGGCTGCTAACCTCAAGGTCAGCAGTTTGAAACTACCAGCTGTTCTGTGGGACAAAGTTGAGGCTTTCTGCTCCCGTAAAGATTTACAGCCTCAAAAATCCTATACAGGGTCGCTATGAGTCATAAATTACTCCACAGCACATAACTAACCGACCAATATTTTATAGATGTTTACAGATTGACTTGATTCGCTTCCATTTGGGATATAATTCAGAATGTCAAAAGATGTTTACTCAAATGTTATAAAAAATAAGACAACCCAAATCATATTAATCATTTCTACATCCCCATATCTGTGAGATGAAAAAAATTCATCATAAATCCATGTGGGAAATTTCTATACAAGCTTTTTTTTTAAATGTTTGGCCAGAAATAAACTGAATACATTTTCAAATTTCTACCTTTCAATAGAAATAGCAATATTGAGAATATGCTTATTATATCTTATACAATATGAAATATAAGAACATTCTAAAATGAGGAAATTGAAGAAGATAAACGGTCAATTGTTTAATTTCACTGATTAGGTTAATATTAGAACATAAACTATTAATGCTTTTTTTTTTTTCCCCAGTTCAGTCCCTTGTTTCTTTGTTTTGTTTTGTTTTGTTTTGCATTTGTTCTATCCTATGCTAAACTGTCATTGGTCTTACCTAGTCTGGCCTTTTTATAGAAGACAGTAGATGGAAATGCTGAAGTATATACCACTGAAAGGAGGCCTACCAAAACCTAACCCAACCCATGACAAATGAATTGATTCTGATTCATAGCAACCTTACACTAGGTTTCCAAAACTGTGGGTTTTAGAGCAGTTGGTAGGTTTGAATTTCTAATCTCATAGTTAGGGCTTCTTGAAAGGAGGCCTAAGAAATCTTAGAAATAATTGACTTCACAGATATGGTTCAATTACTGTCCATTCAAATAAATGAGCAGCACATTATGAAAACCTCTAATGAGTCATAACCCCGGGGCTTGGATCGCAGAAAGTACCTAAAATTGTTGGCATAGCATTACATATGATATTGAGAGAACCTCAATTTCCACTGTGAGTAAAAGGAAGTCACTGATTAAGACCCATCCTCTTATTTGAAAGGTGACTGAGAGATAAAAACAAAAGAAAAGTCAAATTGGAAATCTTTAACACTGATAATATACTCTACAAAGGAGTTTAAAAAATAGCAATACAAAACTTTATTTATGCATTATTATAAGCTACTGCCATCTAGTGATTAAACTAAAAATTACCATTTATTTCATTGTAAATTTAGTATTTAACAATGAAAATTGGACACATTAAATATTATATTATGAACAACAGTATTTATAAATAATGTATATATTCAAAGTTGTACATAATTTTATAAGGAATGCTTTAAAGATTAATTAGATGACATCAGTTCTTAGCTAAAAATATTTCATTCTGAAAAAGAATATAGGCAGTTTCTGGGTTACTTATGGACAATTCCTACTTGTCCACTAATGTTACAGAAATCGGCCCTCACTGTGAAATCATCAAGCCAACATCTACTAACAACACATTCTTCCTTACAATCATCTTCATTTGCTGCCTGTGCAGCTTTCATGTCATTAAAAAGACTTTTGAGCTATTTCTTGTATTTTTGTTGTTGTTGTTAAGTGCCATTGAGTTGGTTCTGACCCATAGCAACTTGTATAAGGTTTCCAAGGAGTGGCTTGTTCCAACAGACTTTGCAGTCCAGCACATTAACTCACAGCACCACACCAGGACTCCCAAACTCACTGTGTTAAGTTATTCCTACTCATAACAACCTGTAGGACAGAGAAGAGGGGTCCACATGTTTCCAAAGTCGTAAATCTTTATGGAAGATGGGACTGCCACATCTTTCTCTCGTGAAGCGGCCAGGGGGTTAACTACTGTGCCACCAGTGTTCCTCTTGTTGCACTAAAGTAAAGCTAAATAGGAACTCCAGGCACATGTTCCAAGTCACCTGCAAATTCTTAAAGACATAGGAACAGAACTAGACGGCAACCCAAGAATTGCCTGTATTTTATGAAAAAATAGTCTAGCACATTTAAAGAATGTCATCTTATTTTAAAAGTTAATTGGTAAATAAAATACTTAATATGTGGTTATAAGTTTATATCCAACTTGCTTTACACATCTATTAATAAGTACCCTAGGAAACCCAGCAAGACCAAATTCAACTGCCATTACATCTTAGATTTAACATCTTAAACAAGCTGACTTACTCTATATTTAATGAGTACCTTTGAAGAAGCAATTGACACAATTATAAAAGTGTGAAAAGGAAAGAAAATAAAAGAACCCGCATCTCACAGAGAATCTCAGCTCACTTGAAGTTTCAGACACATATCTACAAAGGGAAATTTAATGATGCTGTATCACCAGTGTCACTGTGCTGGTCAAAGGAACACCTGCTTTCAGGATGAACCCCAATCTGAAAGATGTTTTTTCCAGGAAATGTAGCAGACACCTTCACTAAAAACAGCCAGAAAGATAACACCAACACTACCACGGCCCCACAGGGTGAGCTAGGGAACAGAATGAGGAGGGACAAAGCAAAACAGGGTGGGAAGGAGGAAGGTAAGACTGAAGGGACGGAGAGAAACACTAGGGAGGAATGAGCAAAACACTAGACAGAAACAAAGCTTCGTTTGGTCTGTATTTAGGTTATACAATAAGGCAGGAAATAAACAAAGACCACTATAAATGTTAAGACAAACTGCAGCTGAGCTTGAGAAAATATAAAAGAGGGTGAGGGAAGAACCAGGCTAGAAATAATTATTTAGACTCAGTGAGGAAAACTAGATATTGATATTGGGATCCTATGATATGACACTTACACTTTTAATTTATAAGTCAGTATATTAATACACCCACCACTCATCTGTCAGTTTGTTGTACTGTGGTGGCTTGTGAGTTGCTGCATATATGGACCAAGAGGCAGTTGTATGAACAGAACATAGGAACACTGAATGGTTTAAAAATAAGAAAGGTGTGCAACAGGGTTGTATTCTTTCACCATACTTATTCAACCTGTATGCTGAGCAAATAATAGATTGGAGGAAGACTCATTAACAACCTGCGATACAACCTTGCTTGCTGAAAGTTAAAAGGACTTAAAATATTTACTGATGAAGACCAAAAAGCACAGCCTTCGGTATGGATTACATCTCAATGTAAATAAGATAAAAATCCTCACCACTGGACCAATAAACAACATTCTTATCAACGGAGAAAAGATTGAAGTTGTCAAGGACTTCATTCTTCTTGTATCAACAACCATCAACACTCATGGAAGCAGTAGTCAAGAAATCAAATGATGTATTTAGGCTGCACAAGACCTTTTAAAAGTGTTGAAGAGCAAAGATGTCAACTTGAAGATCAAGGTGCGCCTGACCCAAGCCATGGTATTTTCAATAACCTCATATGCATGTGAAAGCTGGACAGTGAATAAGAAAAACTATAGAAGAATTGATGCTTTTGAGTTATGATGTTGGAGGAGAATATTGAAAGTGCCATGGGCTGCCTATAGAACAAGCATATCTGTTTTGGAAGAAGTGCAGCCAGAGTGCTCCTTGGAAGCCAGGATGGCCAAACTTCATCTCTCACATTTTGGACATATTGTCAGGAGGGACCAGTCACTGGAGAAGGCTATCATGGATATCAAGGTGGAGGGTCAGAGAAAAAGAGGAAGACTGTCAAAGAGATAGATTGGCCAAGTGGCAGCATCAATGGGCTCAAGCGTCGCAACAATTGTGACATTGGCCCAGGATCATTCTATTATGCGTAGGGTCGCTATGAGTCGGAACCAACTTGATGGCACCTAACAACAACAACAACAACAATATTAATACATACACTCTCTCTCCATACACACACATACATGCATCCAACCAAAACCAGACCCATTCCAACTCATAGCAACCCCACAGGACAAAGTAGAAGTGTTCCATAGGGTGTCTGAGGCTTTTGGCTTTTGGGACGCAGACTGCTATGTGTTTCTTTCATGGAGTTCAAACAACTGACCTTTCAGTTAGCAGCCAAACACATAATCACTGTATTACCCAGGCTCCTTATATAAATATGAGTGTATTATAATTAATTGTATAAAAGTATTGAGCCCTGGTGTGACACTGTAGTATAAGTACTGCGCTGTAACTACACAGTTGGTAGTTCAAAACCACCAGTTGCTCCTTGGGAACCCTCTATAGGATCGCTATGAGTCAGAACTGTCAAGACGGCACTTAACAACAATAACATGTATTACATGTATTACATATGTACCACAAACTTGGCTCATTTAAATTTATATGAAGTTGCCATTAAGAATGTGGGTTCAGTGAACTCAACGACTATTTTGTTATTTTCATAAATGCCCAACAAGCTCATCTCTTCCCACCATCCTCTTATCTTCTTATTCCCTTTTCCTCTCTCTTCCATCTGACCCCTCAATCTCTTTTTTTCCTCTTGCCTCTCTATACTCCCTTCCCCCTTCCTCTCTGCCCCTTCCCCTTCATTCTATTTACTTCCCCTTAATTCTCTCCCCTCTCCACATCTATGCCTTTCTCTCCCTCTCTTCCCCTACTCCTTCTCTTCATCTTTCTTTCCCACTCATTTTTGTGGTTGTTGAACTTTGTTCCACTCAATAAAAAATAAGGAACCATGTTCTCTTATCAAGGTTTACTTCAATCTGGCTTTACAAAAAATTAACATATGCACTTTCATTATAAGAAAACATTTTTGGGGGAAATATTTGCCTAACAATCAGAGTTCTAGATCTGTGCTTGTTCTGAAATCCTGTATTCATTTCCTATCACTGGACTAACAAATGATGAGCTAATTTAACGACTTAAAACAACACAGATTTATCATCTTGCAGTTATAAAATAGGCTCAGAGGCTAAAGTCAAGGTACTGACTGACTGCATTCCTTCTGGAATCTTTAAGGGAGAATCTAGTTCCCTTATACTGCGAACCACAAGACCAGCGGTTCAAGCCCACTAGTCGTTCTGCAGGAGAAAGATGAGGTTTCTGTTCCCGCAAAATTATTTAAAGCCACGGAAACTCTGTACATGGTTGTGTGAGTCCAAACAAGAGGACTTCTACATTTTTTGATTTGTGGTCCCACCACTCAACTTCAAAGCTAGCAACATCCTGTCAAGTCTTTCTTACAAGGCTGTTCCATGACTCTGACTCTGATTCCCCCGCAAGCACTTTTAATGACCCTTGTGATTGCATTGTTTCCACATGATAAATGGAGGCTAATCTCTCTATTTCAAGGCCAGATAGCTCATACCCTTCAGTCTATTGTTGTTGTTGTTAAGTGCCATTGACTCATAATGACCCTGTACGGGTTTCTGAGGAGTGGCTGGTGAGTTTGAACCACTGACGTTGTGATTCAAACAACCTTGAGATCGAGTGCTTATCCCATGGTACCATACCATTCTATACATGATCTTAATTCCCCTTTGCATGTAGGATAACAGGATTTTAGGGTCTAGGCAGTGGACAGACATCCTTTTTATTTTAGGGGTTGGGGAAGCAACTGTTCCACTGCAACTGTTTAACAATGGTGGCTATGTGCTGCGGAGTTGGTGCGACTCATAGTAACCCTCTACAGGGTTTCCGAGGCTGTAAATCTTTATGGGAGCAGAAAGCCTCATCTTTCTCCTGTGAAACAGCTGGTAGTTTCGAACTGGTGAACATGAGCTTAGCAGCCTGACTTGTAACCACTACCAGAGCTCCTTAACAATTGTTGTTGTTAAGTGATGTCAAGTTGGTTCCGACCCACAGCAACACTGTATAGGGTTTCCAAGGAGCATCTGCTGAGCTTGAACTGCTGATCTTGCAGTTCAACCGACTTTGCAGACTGGCACATTAACCCACAATGCCACACCAGCTGGAAGTAATAACCCAAGTAGAACAGTTTTAATGTAACTAACTGTCAGGAATAACATACAGTGTGGTTCTAAAGGGAAGAAATGTCTAAGCTTATAAATGTTATCAGTTGATTTTTCTTTCTGTTGTCTTTAATTTACTTTTGTTTGCTTCTTCTTTTTCTGAATCTCAGACGACCAGAATGACATCAGTGTAGCAATATGTGAATTTCAAAAAAAAAAAAAAAGAGAGAGAGAGAAGTTTAGATTCCTACTACAATTTGGCTTTAACTAAAAACTGGGTTAATGTCCTGTAATTAGCTCAGAAGTATGTTAGCCAATAACTTGCATGCCTTTTAGTGGATAAAAATATACTGACCTGCACAGCCTGTCCTCCAAGGGACCGATCCAATTGGACAGTCAGGAAGGCAGATGTTGTCAGCTCGTCTCTCGTGGCATTTGCTCCTTGCCTAGGAGAACCATGATAAAATAAATCAGCCTATATTTAAGTTTTAAGACATCCTAATATTGGCATTCAACCTGTATGCTGAACAAACAATCCAACAAACTGAGTTATATGAAAAAAAAAAAATGTGGCATCAAGATTGAAGGAAGACTCATTAACAATCTGCGATATACACATGAAACAACCTTGCTTGCTGAAAATGAAGAGGACTTAAAATACTTACTCACAACAACAATGGGACCTAACAACAACAATAATTACAATATTGGCATTTCAAGCAAAAGTTTAAGTAATTATGAAAGATGTAGAAGAAAACAGTTATTCTAACATAAGGCTTAAAACCTATCATTTCTTTAAAGTAGTAACTTTGAGCCATGTGTATTATTTAGAATTACTTCCATTGCATGTTGTTGTTGTTATTAGGCACCATTAAGTTGGTTCTGACTCATGATGACCTTATGCACAACAGAACAAAGCACTCACAATCTTTGCTAAGCTTGAGCACACTGCTGCTGCTACTGTGCCAATCAATCCCCTCTTCTTCCTCATCTGGGAATCTTCCTCTTCTTTGTTGACCCTCCACTTTACCAAGCATGATATCCTTCTCCAATGACTGGTGGTGGCTGTGTGCCATGGAGTCGGTTCTGACTCACAGCGACCCTGTACAGGGTTTCCGAGGCTGTAAATCTTTACGGGAGCAGAACCCCTCATCTTTCTCCTGCGAAACAGCTGGTAGTTTCAAACTGCCCTGATAATATGTCCAAAGTACGACAGACGAAGTCTCACAATCCAGGCTTGTAGGGTGCACTTTGGTTGTACTTCTTTCAACACAAAATTGTTTGTTCTTCTGGTAGCCCATGGTACTTTAATATTCTTCTCAAATATCATAACTCAATTCTTCTTCAGTTTTCCTGATTAATTGTCCAAGTTTCACATGCATATGAGGCTACAGAAAAAACCATGACTTGGGTCAGGCACACCTTAGTCCTCAAACTGACATCTTTGCTCTTGAACACTTAAAAGAGGTCTTATGCAGCAGATGTGCCTAATGCAATAATACATTGTTTGATTTCCTGACTGCATTTCCATTGTATAGGGTGAAGATATTGAGCTTTAGCTCCTTACATAATTGGCTAAGTAATCAAGTCAGTCAGACTTCACATTGGAACTGCCTTTTTTGGTTATCTATCTCCATAGTGAAAATAATCCATTTGGATAGGAGAATGTGAGCTAAAATGATCAGATGGAATATTGGAGGAATTTCATCATTCTATGAATATTTGGTCAACATAGAAGACCAAATGTTTGGAACCCAGACAGTTCAAGGAAACAATCACACAAGCAGGCAAAGAAAAAACCTTATTTTTGCCATTCTCGCAATTCTTTAAAGGCATTACTATACTAAGAAAGCTATGCAAAAGGCAAACTGCCAGTAATCCAGATACCCAAACTAAAAGCAAACCCACTGCTAGCAAATAAGTTCTGAATCATGGAACTCTATATAAAGTTTCCAACATTGTACATCTTTATGAGAGCCGGCAATTCATTTGTCTTCTGAGAAGTGGTTGGAAGCTTTGAAATACCGACCTATAGTTAGCAGTCCAACTCCTAACCCACAAAACTATAAGGGCTCCTCAGCAACCCAGGTAAGTGTCAATAAATCAATGGGCCCAGTTCATTTACAACTTCTCTTGCTAGAGTAATTTGTAGTTTAATTCTGTTTCTCTAGTTTAATCTTGGAGTCCTGGTGTGGCACTGAAGATTTGTCCTCTGGACTGCAAGGTTGGTTTTAACCACAAGGTCAGTGGTTCAAACTCACCAGTGGCTCCTCAGAAACCCTATACAGGGTCACTGTGAGTTGAAACTGACTTGAAGACACTTAACAACAGCAACAGCTTCATCTTAAAATACTTATTGATTAAGATCAAAGACCACAGACTTCAGTCTGGGTTGCACCTCAATGGAATGAAAACAAAAATCCTCATAACACCATGATAAAGGGAGAAGAGAGTAAATCTGTCAAAGACTTCATTTTGCTTTGCTTCACTATCAACACTCATGGAAACAGCAGTCAAGAAATCAAACAATGTATTGCATTGGGCAAATCTGCCACACAAGACCTCTTAAGTGTTCAAGTGCAAAGATGTCAGTTTGAGGACTAAAGTACACCTGACCCAAGCCACGGTATGAAACTTTTCAGTAGCTTCATATGCATGTGAAAGCTGGACAATGAATAAGGACGACCATAGAAAAGTTGATGCATTTGAGTTACAGTTCTGGAGAAGAATATTAAAGGTACTGTAGACTACCAGAAGAACCAATAAACCTTTATTGGAAGAAGTACAACTAGAATGCTCCTTAGAAGCCACACTTTTTCTCATTTTTTGGACATATTATCAGGAGGGGCCAGGTCCTGGAGAAGGACAAGGAAGACACGCCAATGAGATGCATTGGCACAGTGGTAGCAACAATGGACTCAAGCTTAGCAACAGTTGCGAGGATGGAACAGGATTGGGCAGTGTTGCATTCTGTTATTCATAGTGTTGCTATGAGTTCGAACCAACTCGATGGCATTTACCAACAACAGTTCAATCTATAAGGCATTTGGGCCAAGATTTTCCTTTAGATGAGTTTATACAGTGAGAGAAAAACAAAAAAAGCATTGAACATTGTTTTGTTTCTCCATGTCTCCCCTCTCTATATGATAAATAATTAGCACCAAGAATACTAATCCTTAAATTGGATTTTCAACAAATTGAACAGTAACCGCACATCCTTGGCAACATACACATATTCCATAGGAGCCTAGAGAATGTGTTATTTATCACAGAAGTCTTCAATGCACCAGCATGTGCAAATTAATTGAGGAATAATGTTCTATGGAATGGAAAATAAAATGAAAAAGAAGGTCATGCTGAAGGCAGGCACACATGTTTACAGGAAAATGAAGAATGCTTTCTCTAAGAAAGGTTGGCAGTCTACATTTTCCATGAGCCTATCAAGCTAACAAACCCTTCTGGAAGGCCCCCTGAGCTCTCAGAGATGGGGAGAAACACAGATCTGCGTGGTGTCGGTCCTTAGCAAAGTCTGTTACACTTGGACGTGTCTTAACCATACGTGCTGTTTCCTGGCCCCTTCTATATTTTCTTTATTTTATGAAGGGAGGGGGAAAAAAAATCAGCCAACTAATTTAAAGAATATCACCAAAGGATTTCTTCTATTTTGTTTTCCCAATCTCCCCTGGAGTATTTAACCAGGTTTTTGTGTTCTGACATTCGTAATGAAGACCTTCACTACTTACCTTAAACCCCTTTTCTTGCTAGGTTCTTGTCAGAGTGATCATGGACCCATCCCCACAAATTCAAAGTAATTTGCTTTATGGATGTATTACCCAGGGATCAAGGTTTTCACTATAGTCATGATGTAACTGTCTATCTCTGCCTTTAATTTTGAAATCTTATGACTGGGGGAAGAAAAAAATTCAGCAATTGACTTTGTCTGACTTGACTTCCTTCTTATAAATCAGTGATGCTTATTGCTCATTAAAAATAAACGCTCCATGAAAATGGGATTTACTGCTTCAAGAGATTCATCACTGTCGTTGTTCACTGTTTGCACAGTTTCAATTACCCAACAGTGTAGAGAAAAGATCACTGTTGGAACGATCTTCTTATCATCATTTTAGAATATAAGTGGTTTCAGAACTACAAAGACAGATTTGTCTACTTGAAAGTTGACTTAATTGTGTGCCTTTCATCTTTAACTCTACCTCCTGGACTACCTTTTTAATTCCTTCTTTCAAGTTATCACATAAACTGAAAAATTCTATCCCTACACAGTGTGGTTGTGACTGCATTCAGGCAAGCCTTTGTGCTGGGTAGAACCCACAGACAGTGTTGGAAATACTGCTTCACCAGTTACTAGAGTTGTAACTTTGGATTACGTTACTTAAACTGTCTGACATCCTCTTCAGAAAAGAGACTGGTTGTGAGAAAGAAAAGTAACATATAGAAACATGTAGCACTTTGCTAGTGCAAAGATACTGTTGAACAAATGGTTGCTGTTAGGATGGCATGTTAAGTACAGATGAATAGCTAGATACATCCATGACAGATGGGGCATAGTGATGTGGGGATACTGGGCTAGAAAGATCGATTGGTGCCATGGGTCTCATTACTGCAGTGGCATACAGTAGTACTCACAAGACCCACTCCTGATTTTTGTTTATTTATTATGGGATGATGTTGTTGTTTTTAAGTGCTGTCAAGTCTGTTCTGACTCTTAGCAGCCCTGTATAGGATTTCTATGAGTGGCTGGTGGGTTTGAACTGCCAACCTTGAGGTTAGCAGAGTAGTGCTTATCCTACAGCACCACACCGGGACCCTTGTTATTCGTGAGAAATTATCCAGGTTTTTCTAACATGCAGCTAGTATTTGAATCTATTGTCTAAGGTCATATTTGCCGATTATAAAGTACATATGACTCATCTGGAGATCTAGTTAAAATGAAAGTCAGGGTGAGGACTGAGAGTCTACATTTCTAACAAGTTCCCAGGCAATGAACCTTTGGCTAGCAAGAGTCATCCCATCTCCTGAATAGGCAGTATAAGTGGTCAGGCGAGAGGGCAGAATATATCTTTGTCATCTGGTGTGATACTCGCCAAAGAAAAATGTCACCACTTTCACCTAAAACACATTAAAAACATTTTTTTTAATGTCTCCATATTAGCAGAGACCTGAGTCCACGTTCGTTCCACATGCCGACTAATGGTTGCCATCGTCAAGGCTGGATCTGGCCTCCATTCAGCCTTGGACCTTTTATACAGCCTGTCAACTATAAAACCATTTTGTGAATTCTTTAATTTTTTTGAGTCTTTTTGGTAGTATTCTATTTAACCTGATTTTACTCAATAAATAAAATCTAGTGAAAATATTAAAGTAAAAAAGTTAGATAATACCACATTATATGGTTGGTTTCAGAATTATTTTCCTTTTAAAGTAGCCCATTATAGTGCATGAACATAAATTACTTGGTTGGACATTTGATCCTTCCTCCTGGAGCAGGGCCTTGTTACTGATTCAGACAAAATAAATCAAACCATCAATTAAGTCAAATCACTATTCAAAATTCACAATGTGAAAATATTATACTATTTTCTCCATTATTGATTTGAAATTCATAGGGACAAAACATAAGAATACATCAATTTCAAGTTTCTGGAATATAAAATAAAATCAGAAATAATTTCCCTTACAGAAGTAACCTGGCTGTAACTTAGCAACTGAAATTCAGGTGGTCCTTGTGAGTTTTAACAAACAGAAGAGATGACACCAACAATGACCAGGTGGAGTTTCTGTCTGCATAGGAGATAAGCTATTCAACCATGTGTTCACTAACAGAGTACTACAGTTTGAAGTATCTAAACCATTTTCCTAGAATAGAGAGAATGATTTTTATCACATCTCCTCCTGTCCATGGATGGCAGGTGCAAAGCATACTCAAAATACTGTTCAAAGAAAATATAATGAGTCACATTTCTATGCATAATATACACATCTCACAGGCATTATTATGTATGGGATTATTCTAGCTCTTGCTACATGCAATTGAATACTCTGGAAAAAAATTTGGACTCTATAAAATTGAGATTTCATCAAAGATGTAAACTTACCATGTGTAGATAATCTGTCCTCTGCGATAAGAATACAGTATAATGTAGCAGTCACCACCATAAAATTCACCATATGAGCTTTGGTCAACTGGGACCCTACCATTACTTTCTACACGCCAAATCTGGATGGAATAGAATATATCAAAATTAATCTTTTATTGATCCTATAATACTTTTCATAAGCTTGACATAGCTTTCAGATTGTTGTTATTGTTAAGTACCGTGGAGGTGGTTCCGATTCATAGTGACCCTGCACAGGGTTTCCGAGGCTGCAAATCTTTACGGGAGCAGAAAGCCTCATCTTTCTCCTGCGGAACAGCTGGTAGTTTTGAACTGCTGACCTTGAGGTCAGCAGTCCAATTTGTAACCACTACACTACCAGAGCTCCTTAACTTTCAGATTAGAGCTATAAAACAACAACAAAAAAAAACCCTCACAAATGTTGTCATAGATTCCAACTCATGGTGACTCTCTATTATAGGAACAGAGGATAAGTGTCCAACTTGGTTTCTATGGATATAACTAATTACAGAAACAGACTATCACATCATTCTTTCCAGGAACAGCTGGTGGGTTTGAACTGCAGACCTTTCAGATAGTAGCCAAGCACTTAACTAGGGCTCTACACCAAGGCTCCTAGATCTATAATAACCAACTTTTATTTTGGGCTAGTATGAATAGTACTGCTATGGACACAAATATTTCTGTGACATTGTTTATAATTCCTATAGCGTATCAGCACTTTCACCATTTCTACTGCTTTCATCCACCCCATTTCCCTGTAGTTCCTTGTCCTCTCATCTTTGTTTTGGTGTAAATGTTGACTGTTTGATCTCATATCTAAAAAAAAAAATAATAAAGTTCTCAGGAGCATCTTCCTCATGGGTGGTATTGTTTATTTTAGAGGCCAATCTATTATTTGTTTGAAAGATGACCTCTGGGAGTGACTTGAGAGTCAGGTTAAAATAATCCATTAGGGCAATAGTCTCAGGGATTTTGCTAATCCCTGTTGGTCCAGTAGAGTACTTGTATGGCATTGTAGAATAAGCACTGGACTGTTAACAGCAAAGTAGGCAATTCAAACCCACCAGATGCTCCTTGGAAATCCTATACTGGGTCACTCTGTGTCAGAACCAACTCAATGGGATTTAACAGCAACTAGTCCAGTAAATCTAGTCGTTTTTATGAATTTAAACTTTGCTCTACATTTTTCTCCCATTCTAATCGGGTCCTTCCATTCACAGCATCGCTGGTTAGGATGGTTGATAGTGGTAGCCAAGCGCTAGCCAGTTCTTATGGTCTCAAGCTAGAAAAGGTTGTGGTTCGTGTGAACCATTAGTCCCATGGACTCATTACTTTCTTCAGTCTTTGGTTTCCTTCACTCTGCTATGGCCCAGATTCCAAATTACCAACTTTTAAATTACTTTTTAAACTAGTTTAAAAATTTAGCAAAGGAAGGAAATTTTATCAATCTGGACATTTGTTTACTGAGTTTTGTTGTTGTTGTTACATGCCATAAAGTCTGTTCTCACTCATAGGAACCCTTTATTGGGTGCCCACGAAGTACCTAGTGGGTTTGAACCACCAACTTTGTGGCTAACAATCCAGTGCTGATCCTACAGCACCACAGCAGGACTCCGTGGCAGGTTCCATCTTTACTGTTAAGTAAAATTTATAATTTTTAAAATTTGTAATTTCCTGATGTTATAGTTCCATATATGCTGGCATAAATGGGCTTAACAAAAACAAACAAAGCCAGGAAAATACCTCCACTTGGCCAGAACCATCATCCACCATATTGTGCTGGGCTGCCATCTGTGGAGAACTGTGTAATTTTGAGGCATCAAAAGGAATTTGTTTGACTTGAGCCACTTTCTCTGTGACATATACTTTTCCAAAGCCATCACTCTGATCTTTCTCTCGCCAGTCCTTAAAGAATTGTTTGAAGATCGGTGTTTCACCTCCTTCTGGAAGCACCTGAATCTGAAATAAAAACAAAACAAAACAAAAACCATAATAAAAAGAGGAAATTAAGAGACTGCAGAACAATCTAGTAGTATAGAAAAGCCTGTAGTGGGAATGAAAAGATTGTCCTGGTTTATTACAGATGCTAACATAGAGCTGGGATCCTTTTTAAAAAAAAATGGAAACAGCAATATAAAATTATCAAATATTCAACTAAAATAATCCGATGTGCTTTCTCTCAAAATTTAATGTACTGCCACTGAAATCAGATGTTTGAGATGAGAATAAAGTTCTTCCCTTGGTTATCATTGCAAGTATCATTGCATTGTGTTTCTACATTAAGTCACAAGAGGTCTACGCTCTGGAAGAAACTATCTCCTTCTGTTCTTGTGCCTGGACATAAAAATGAAGAGTGGACAAGGTTGAGAGACTCAGAAGGGAGAGAGTAAGCAGGCAGTGTCTTGGCTGATCTTAATGGAGTCAACTATTAGCTGGGTTTTAGACTATGTCTGTACATCTTGCTGTAAGGAATCATTGATAAGTGCTTTTAGTTTGGTTGATAATCTTGAAGTGGAGGTTGTAAAGGAAGTAGATGGGCTCTTGTTCTCATCATTCAGCCTTATTGAGGGGCTGATTCCTCACTTCTACAAAATTCTACCCCACAAACACAGATTGTTGTGTAAGGCCCTAACTGATTTTGCCTAACTACTTGACCAAACTTTAGTCAGGCTTCAAGAAGCATTTTAAATAGACTAGGCCTCAGTTTTTAGTTCCCTCCAGAGACAAGGTCAATCTCCATTCTGTACATTAGCCTGAACACGTCCTCCTGTTCCAGGAACGTGCTAAATCAGCTCATGTTGCCTTAGAATATCCTTTCACCCCTAGCAACAGCGAGCCATAGATAAGTAATAGACAGAACAACCCAAGGCCAGATGCCAGATGTTTTCCTTTGCCCTAGCCTAAGAAAGACCACCAGTACTGACCAATTAAACTGTAACATCTCATACTTTGCCAATTGTTAACCAATCAAAAACTGTATCTATAGTGCTGTGCAATTATGCCCCCTGAAACCCTATAAAAACTTGTGTGTATAGTGAGTTGGGGTCGCCCTCAGCTCCTGTTTTCAGGAGTCTATGTGAGAGTGGACCCCAGCACATTAGCAAGGGTCGCCCTCAGCTCCTGTTTTCAGGAGTCTATGTGAGAGTGGACCCCAGCACATTAGCAAGGGTCGCCCTCAGCTCCTGTTTTCAAGAGTCTATGTGAGGGTGGACCCCAGCGCGTTGGCAAATGTCACCTTTGTCTCCTGGTTTTAGGAGTCTGTGAAGGTGGATCCCAGCGCGTTGGTAAATAAACCTCTTGCTTTTGCATCGAACTCGAGTCCTGATGATCTTTTTGGGGTCTCCTACTGAATTAGGCCACTAGGGGGCCTAACAGTTGTTGTTGTGAAGTGCTGTTGAGTTGCTTCCGACCCATAGCGAGACCCTGTATAGGATTTCCTAGGAGCAGCTGCTGAGCTTGAACTAGCCGACCTTGCAGTTCAAACGGCTTTACAGTTTGGCGTATTAATCCACACGCCACACCAGAACAAACACAGATTAAGTTTTAGAAATATGTAATACCTGATTACACACATTCAAGTGAAAACTGACTTCACACACACACAGTACTTCAAGTCAAATTCTTTCAGGAATATGGCGATGTCATGGGCTCCTGGATGTTTATTTCATTATTTTTTAGCCAGTTAATTTCCACACTTACTTGAGTATTAGTGGAATAATTCATTTTCTCTAGAAACTCTTCAGCTGTCTTCATTGCAGCTTTTCTCTCCTGGGGATTAGCATCTTTACCTAAAATACAAGGTAAATTAAAAAGAGACATATATGACTCCAAAATCCTTATATATTGAAAATACACATAATTAAAATTTAAATAGAGCACTGAGAAGACAACAAAACACTTCCAAGCGTAATGAACAGATTCAACAGTACACTAAGAAGTAACATTCATAGAGTTCTTTGTAATGCCCAAATGACTTCTCTAACTCCATAATCCCTGCAAAATGATGTTTGTAGGAAGAAAATATGATTTTGATGATCGCATTTATGTGAGCTATTTATAGAGCATGTCCCAAAAAGCTAAGTTTTTTTGTTTTTTTTTAAAAGTGAGAAAAATTGTTTCTTTACCCTTCTGAGGGAATGTCTATAATCCAGCAGTTTTGGGTTGATTTGTAGGTCTTTTCAAATGTAAATATAAATCTGAAATGTAACAACAATGTCAATGGCATATTTTACCTTTCCATACAAAAATTTGCTTTGCAGCGCCGTGGTCCAAAATAAAGCACTCCTCAGAAAGCAGCATGGAAATGGAGAAGGGGTTTTCTTCTGCCACCACGCTAACTTGCATGCATCCACTGGCATCTGAAACCTAATAAGAAAACCATGAGCCCCAGGTGTCTCCTTGAAATGATAAAAACGTTAGAAATTTAGATTATAGTAATGGTTGTACAACTCTGAAATGTACTAAACTCATTCAATAGTACATTTGAAACAAGCTAACTTTATGGAATATAAATGATATCTCAATTTCAAAGTACAAAAAAGTTATTTCAAAGTACAAAAACGAGCAAACTAAATATCATGAATCCAATTGTGCTCCAAAGGCCATTTTATTTTATTTTATTTTTTTAAAAAAGCTCTCTGTGATGAAAGAGCTACCAACAACAAAGTTGTTTTGACACTGTGCCTACAATTCATGGGACATCAGAAAATAATAGTGGTAGTAATAGTATCCAATGCTTACTGAGAACTCTATAGGTATTAAAGCCTGGACTGTCATGTGTGTGTAGATCTTACATTCACTACACACACACACACACAAAATGATATAGAAGCTTGAACAGCTATCTATTCTCTTAACATTTACTGAGTACCCTCTACATTTCAGGCAGGCACTATGCTAAGAAAGACATTGTTGTTGTTGTTATGTGCCATCAAGTTGGTATCGACGCATAGCGACCCTATGCTCCGCAGAATGAAAAACTGCCCAGTCCTGGACTAATCTCACAATTGCTGCTACACTTGAGCCCACACTTGATGCTGCCATATTGCCATATATATGTTATAATTTATGTCTGTAGATTTTTCCAACATACATTTTTTTTTCTAATGTTGTTGCTGTAAAGTAAGTATTCTTTGTATAAATTATCAAAGCAAAATTTCCTCTGCCGCAAATGAAATTGTTATCTACCTAGACTATTAATTTGAGAATGACTATAATATATACTTTTAAAAACCATTTAACCTCCAAAGCAAACAACTTTCTTGAAACGCAAAAAATCCTAATAGTCAGCTTTTTTTCTGAAAGTCTTTCTTTTAATGAGAGCCTTCTGTTCTCTCAGCAGTTCTGGATTAATCTGTATGTCATCTCAAATGTGAATGTCCCAACTCAGAAGGTTTTGTGTGGCTCAGGATTCCACCTAAGGCCCCATAGTCTACAAAGTTTAAACAAGAAGCTTATTCCTCTGGGTTCAGCCTGCTACCCACTCCATAGGAGAAAGATGAGACTTTCTACTCCCGCAAAGAGTTAAAGCCCCGGAAACCCTATATAGAGTCGCTAAGGAGCTCTGGTAGGATAGTGGTTATGAACTGGGCTGCTAATCTCAAGGTCGGCAGTTCGAAAACACCAGACATAAAGATGAGGATTTCTGCTCTCGTAAAGATTTACAGCCTCGGAAACCCTGTACAGGGTCACTGTGAGTTGGAACCGACTCCACGGTACTTAACAACGAGTGGAATGACTCCCTGGCACTTAACAACAACAACATTAACAATGTGGCCAATGGTGATGTTTTGTAGCAACACAGTGAGGTCTGAACTGTGGATTTTTAAGAAAACACCCCAGGTGCTTCTGTGTCCCAGCTTTGTTCTACAGCCCTACAATGTTTTTAAATGGTCCTAGTATGGTGCTGTAGGGTAAGCACTGGCTTGCTAACCACAAGGTGAGCAGTTCAAATCCACCAGCCAGTCATTGAAAATCCTGTATACGGTTGCTATGAGTCAAAATTGACTCAATGGCACTTTAGAGAGGAGTACTGGTGGTACAATGGGCTAAGTGCTGGTTGTTAATTGACAGTCAGTAGTTCAAACTCACCAGCTGCTGTATGGAAGAAAGATGTGATGATCTACTTTTATGTAAATATTTACAGCCTTGGAAATTCTATGGGGCAATTCTACTCTGTTCTATCAGGGTTGCGATGAGTCAGTGGAATGGGATTTTTGTTTGTTGTTGTTGTTAAGTGCTGGCAAGTGATCGCTGTGAGTGGGAACCGACTCCACAGCACACCATCATCACCATCATAGTGTTTAATACTTTAAATGCATGCATTACATTATCATTCCACCAGGAGGCGCTATGTTTCAGGAATTAACATTTCCACACTAAAATAGTCCTTTAGTTCAAAGTACTGTTCATGAAAGAAAACAAGATTTATTTGATGATGTGAAATAAAAGGTATTTGTTAGGCTGTTGGGAAAGTTTCAGGAAGAGTAATAAGAAATAAGTAAACAGAATGTTCTTATATAACAAGTTCTGTATAGGTTTATATTAAAATTCCATATTCAGCATAAATGGTAACCATGTTTTCCTTTGCCACCTAGGATGAACCTACTTCCCCTTTATAAAAATGAATTTATGCTAACAAACTAGTAATCTGGTCTTCATTTACATCACAGAATTTCTGAACTAAAAGGTTCCTTAAACTAATACCAGATCTGTTGCTGTCAAGTCAACCCCAACTCTTGTAACAACCCTGTAAGATAGACTAGAACTGCACCAGAAGGTTCCCAACACTGTCAATCTTTAGGGAAAGGCATTGCCGTTTCTCTCTTCCCTGAAGACTGGTAGGTTCACATCTCTAACAGCTACCAGGTAAGTGCTTAAGGACGCCACAAGGGTTCCTAAAGTTTCCTTAAAATCCAAAATGCACTGCCATCAAGTTGATTCTGTCTCATAGCAGAAGTTCCCTTGATTGGTTGGTAAGTGCCGTCGGGTCGGTTCTGACCCATAGTGACCCTGTATAGGGTTTCCAAGGAGCCGCTAGTAAGCTTGAACCACCAACCTTGCAGTTCAAATGACTTGGCAGTCTGGCGCATTAACCCACAGCGCCACAACAGGACTCCTAGAAGTTCCCTTAAAGAAAAGCAAATCTAACTCCTTTCTGTTGCAGTTGGCAAAACTGCAGATACCTGCAAGGAGATTATGAACTGCTGCTAATCACATGCTTGTAAAATTGCAGGGTGAGGGAACTTTAGTTAATAATTTAATGTGATCCCGGTCTTTCCCTCTCTTCTAGAGAAATAAGCTAAAGACTGAGTCTTAGAATGTTATTTGTTGCCCATTCTGACAAAGCTGACAAGCAGCGAGTGTCCAGGTCCCCAATGTCCAGCACAAGGCTGCTTTCACTCTATTTTCTCTGAGCCACTGGTTTGATAAAGAGCTTTGGTAGCATAGTGGTAACGAGTAGGGCTGCTAAGCACAAGGTCAACAGTTCGAAACTACCAGCCATTCTGTGGGAGAAAGATGAGGGTTTCTGCTCTTGTAAAGATTTGTTGTTCTTGTTGTTGTTATGTGCCGTACAGGATTTCCGAGGCTGTAAATCTTTATGGGAGCAGAAAGCCTCAGCTTTCTCCCACAGAACAGCTGGTAGTTTCGACCTGCTGTCCCTGAGGTTAGCAGCCTGATTCGTAACCACTTCACTACCAGAGAGCCTCTATGGCACACCATCACCACCATTTGGTTTGATAGTTTTGCTCTCTTGTAATATAAAAGGTCTTTTTTAGCTAAACAGAATTTTTAAATAGGTGAAAATCTTATTATTGTTACTAGGTGCTGTTGAGTAGGTTCTGGCTCACAGAGACCCTATGCACAACAGAATGAAACACTGCCCTGCACCATCCTCACAATCTGAGCCCAGTGTTGCTGCCACTGTGTCAGTTTGTCCCGTTGAGGGTCTTTCCTCTTGTTCACCAATCCTCCATTTTACTAAGCATGATCTCCTGTCTCCAGGGATTGGTCCTCGCTAACATCATATCCAAAGTACAAGAGATGAAGTCTCACCATTTTTGCTTCAAAGGAACACTCTGGCTGTACTTTTTTCAAAACAGATTTGTTAGTTCTTCTGGCAGTCCATGACATTTCCAACATTATTTACCAACACCAAAATTCATATACATCGATTCTTCTACTATCTTCCTTATTCACTGTCCAACTTTTACATGCATATGAGGTTCCTGGGGTGACACTGTGGGTTAATGTGCTGGACTGCAAAGTCCATTTGAACAGCAATGTTGATGATTCAAGTTCACCATCTACTCCTTGGAAATCTTATACAGGGTTGCTATGGATTGGAACTGACTCAGCGGACCTTAACAACAACATCAACATGAGACTAATGAAAATACCATGGGGCTCAGGGCTGTTGTTGTTGTTAGGTGCCATCGAGTTGGTACCGACCCATAGCAACCTTATGAACAGCAGAATGAAACACTGCCTGATCCTGGGCCAACCTCACTATTGTTGCCACGCTTGAGTCCATCGATGCTGCCACTTGGCCAATCAATCTTGTTGAGGGTCTTCCTCTTTTTCTCTGACCCTCAACCTTACCAAACATGATATCCTTCTCCAGCAAGTGGTCCCTCCTGACAATATGTTCAAAGTATGAGAGAAGAAGTTTGGCCATCCTGACTGCACTTCTTCCAAAACGGATCTATTGGTTCTTTTGGCAACCCATGACACTTTCCATATTCTCCTCCAACACCATAATTCAAAAGCATCAATTCCTCTATGGTTTTCCGTATTCGCTGTTCAGCTTTCGCATACAGACGAGGTTATTGAAAATACCATGGCTTGGTTGAGGCACACTTTAGTCCTCAAACTGACATTTTTGCTCTTCAACACTTTAAAAAGGTCTTGTGCAGCAGATTTGCCTACAGCAATACATCGTTTGATTTCTTGACTGCTGCTTCCATGAGTGTTGATAGTTGATCCAAGAAGAATGAAGTCCTTGACAACTTCAATCTTTTCTCCATTGATAAGAATGTTGTTTACTGGTCCAGTGGTGAGGATTTTTGTTTTCTTTGCATTGCGATGTAATCCATACTAAAGGCTGTGCTCTTTGATCTTCATCAGTAAACGTTTTAAGTCCTCTTCACTTTCAGCAAGCAAGGTTGTATCATCTGCATATCACAGGTTGTTAATGACTCTTCCTCCAATCCTGATGCTACGTTTTTCTTCATATAACCCAGCTTCTCAGATTATTTGCTCAGCATATAGGTTGAGTAAGTATGGTGAAAGAATATAACCATGTCACACACCTTTCTTAATTTTAACACATTCAGTGTTCCCATGTTCTGTTTGAACAACTGCCTCTTGGTCCATATACAGATTCCTCATAAGCACAATTAAGTGTTCTGGAATACTCATACTTCGCAATATTGTCCATAGCTTGTCATGATCCATACACTCAAAAACCTTTGTGTAGTCAATAAAGCATAGGTAAACATCTTTCTGATGTTCTCTGCTTTCAGCCAAGATCCATCGGACATCAGCAGTGATATCCCTTGTTCCACGGCCTCTTCTGAATCCGGCTTGAACCTCTGGAAGTTCTCTGTCAATGTATGCTTGCAGCTGTTTCTGTATTACCTTTAGTAAAACTTTACTCGCATGGGATATCAAAGAGATTGTTTGATGATTTCTGCATTCTGTTGGGTCACCTCTCTTTGAAATTGGCACAAATACGGATCTCTTCCAATCAGTTGGACAGATAGTTGTCTTCCAAATTTTTGGTAGAGATGATTGAGTGCCTCCTTTGCCGCCTCACTTTCTTGAAAGATTTCTATTTTTATTCCATCAATTCCTGGTGCCTTGTTCTTTGCCAATTCCTTCAGTGCACCTTGGCTCAGGGTAGGCACACCCTAAGTCCTCAAAGTGACATTTGACTACTTGTTACTGTGAGCATTGATAGTGCAACCAAGCAAAACGAAGTCTTTGAAGATTTTATTAGTTTATTAAAAATGCATAAAAACGTACAAAGCACTCTTTACTGTGTTTTTAAGTGCTGTCAAGTCAATTTTGACTCATTAGCGACCTTTTAAAGGGTTTCCTAGGAGCGGCTGGTGGGTTTGAACCACCGACCTTGCAGTTAGCAATCCAGTGCTTAGACTATAGTGTCACACCAAGACTCCATTTTATTGATGATACAGTTCTAAGTATATTATTCAACATTTTGTTGTTGTTGTTAGATGCCATCAAGTTGGTACTGACTCATAGCGGCCTTATGCACAGCAGAACAAAACATTGCCTGCTCCTGGACCAACCTCACTATTGTTGCCATGCTTGAGTTCCTCGATACTTCTACTTGGCCAATCCGTCTCGTTGGGGGTCTTCCTCTTTTTCACTGACCCTTCACCTTACCAAACATGATATCCTTCTCCAGCAACTGGTCCCTCCTTACAATATGCCTGAAGTATGAGAGACGAAATTTGGCCATCTTGGCCTCCAAGGAGCACTCTGGCTGCACTTCTCCCGACACGGATCTGTTGGTTCTTTTGGCAGCCCACGGCACTTTCAATATTCTCCTCCAACATCATAACTCAGAAGCATCAATTAATTCTTCTACAGTCTTCCTTATTTACGGTTCAGCTTTCACATGCATATGCTACTAAATCAATTCAAACTCATGGCGACCAGCCAGTTTGCTATATAGAGTTTTCTTGACTGTAGTTTTAATGAAAGTAGACTGCCAGGCGTATCTTCCTGAGTACCATGGGGTGGTTTTGAACCACCAACCTTTAGGTTAGGATCTGCAGATCAATAATATGCTATTTTATTTAGGGCACAACAATAAAGTTAGCTATTATTTGCTGTCTTTCATGGAAATAACAAACAGTAACAAAAAGAATCATTTCAATGAATATATAAGAGCAAGTAATTGATTGGACCCTACACATTTCTCTAACAGCACCAAGTGTCCCTCCTAGCACCAGCCTCTCCAACCCCATTCAAACGAGGAAAAACAAAGAACCAGGTAGCAGTGAGCTCACCATATAGAGTTTAGCCATTTTCCTGTTAGTCACATCTGCCACAGTGTCCTCGTCATCATCTCCATCCCGAAGCTCTGGCTTCTTCCCTAAAACCTGGAAGGAAAAGAGTAAACAACAAAGGAAAGATAAGAGCTCTCAGTAGAAGACTCACAGATTTCTTAACAAAAGAAAAGTAAAATAGTTAAAAAAAAACAAACAAACATAGTAAGACATCTTAGAAAGACACCTATAAATACATTTATCATTAAAAAATGTGCAATTAAAGTTACCAGGCTCAAATGCTTTTTCATGAATTTATAAGACAAAGGCCCTTTACCATGGTAATAAGATTTTATCTAAGTTTACTAGTAATATGAATCTCCAAGAGAGCAAAATCTCAAATTCAAAACTTCAAAAATCTTGTAATTTTGGAAAACTAGCAGGACCTAATTAAAATATGAGAGAGCAATTCAGTTCTGTGAAAGAATTGCCTCTGTGGCCTTGCTTCTAAAAATTTATCTATAGGCCTCACTGATTTATTATTACAAAGACTTGGGTAATAATTACTAGATGAGGGTGAAGTGCTATTCTCATTATCAACATATTATTGCTCATATAAAGCATAATTTCTTGATGACTGTCATATTCATGCTTTGTCTCCTCCAATATCCTTGACACTTAGAAAAGTACCTAAGATATAGTAAATGCTCAATAATAAGTCAAATGAATGCAAAAATGTATTTGTCCATTGTATATATGATGCAATCCAAAAGTTCAAATCCAAAAGCCTTTGGACAGATGGTGCATTTGAATCTGCCTTATATTCTATTCATTAAAATTTGTTTTTACAAAAGTCTACTACAAAACCTATTATATAAGCTGTGTTGTGTGAGAGGAATATAGACTGTTTAATCATTTTGAATCATAACATTTCCTAAATAATATATTTTACTGTCAATTTTCTTACTATAAAATTGGTACAAGTACCACATAATGTTAAAAGATAGGAGTAAAATATAAACTTGATTCTAAACAATGTAATGTGATTTCATAGATAGAATTTTATAGCTAGAAATTCAAGTTTAGAAAAGCAAAAAAGGTATTCATTTTGATCCAATAAATATTTTATATACAATGAAATTCCACTGATAAGATGCTTTATAGTATTTCTTACAATATATTGCATTAAAATACATACTGAATAGTATCAAGCAATATAAATGACACAAACTTAAGTTTAGAGACAGATTAAGGAACACATTTTGTTTACACAGTGATCAGTGAAACTTTTCAATTATTTTAGATGCTGATTGCAACATAGTGGCTTCTTGGGATATTCCTTTATTTTTGGGAAAAACAGGAACAAGCCAAAGATGAAGACACTTGTAACCAAAACATAAGAGTCATTAAAGGTCTCCTTATATACTCTTTTGCAATTCTGTTCTAACAAAATAGTAGAGTTTGGATTGAGCAGCTGGGGTTAACAGGTATTACTAATGCTGCGAAGTCTTCCAGTGGACCAACTGAATCTGAGACTTTGAGTACATTCTAACTTTTATTTTTCAACAGTTCCCACATCAGTCAAAGTTCATAGCTAGTTTTGCAAAGGATTGTAGCAGAGCTGGAATCTGAACCCAAGGGATTTATCATGAATACACCGATCTCCACGGACTAGGGAGATGCTATATATTGTCAGGTGTCTCTAATTCCGTTCAAAAGTAAGCATTTTACTCATTACCAGTTCAGTGGCTTATACTAATGAGTTTCCAGCTACCTTGCCCAACCCTTAAGTGTTTTTATATTGTATCCAGAAAGAATATAAATGTCCATTTTATCAACTGCATTGCATATTTTGATCATTGAAGTAAGCTGTGAATATACCTTTTCTTTTTCTCTACAGGTAGAATCATGCCAATATTGAAAACACTTTCATTTTGGTTGCTCAAGTGATTAGCATTATTGACTAGCTCATTAATTTTTTGTATGTGAAATAACATACAGTTTTTAAGAAAATTTAAAGAGGTAGAAAAATAGAAAAGCCTTACTTAAAAGTATTCCATAAAAATGTCATCTATTGTTCTAGCCAAGATCAGTACTTGAGGTCCCCCTTTCCTTCAATTATTTTCCATGAATTGACTCTTGTGTCATCTTCATCTAATGGGGTCCAAATGGAACTTATCTTTCCATAAAACTGTTCTCAGTTCTCCACTTGTGTCAGTGTATCAGTTTTCTCCATGTCACATGGACTGAAAGTCATGTGGCCATTTTGAGTATTTCCTCTCCGCCACTTTGGATCTCCCATCTGCATAGCTCTTCAGTTCTATCTTTTAAGTATGATGTTGTTGTTAAGTGCCGTCGAGTCAGTTCCGACCCATAGCAACCCTGTACAGGGTTTCCGAGGGTGTAAGTGATAGTATTTACGTAATCAATGATTCCTGTCTATTTCTATACTCTTACCCTGGTGAAGACCATCATCATCCTAAGCATGCATTACAGTGCTTTCTAGCCATTCTCTACATATTCCCATTCTAAAAGTTATCCTGAATAATGTTTACAAAAACAAAAATTCAAACCCATTGCTGTTAACTCAATTCCAACTCATAGCGACTTCATAGGAGAGAGGAGAACTGTCCTGTAGAGCTAATCTTTATGAAAGTAGACTGCCACATCTTTTTACTACACAGCAACTGGTGGTTAGAACTGCTGACTTTCTGGTATTTTTATCAAGTTGCCCCAATGTGTTCCTTTACATACCTCAAAGATTACAAACTGCTAGAACAAGATCTAGTGTTATGTACTTACATAATAATGTGGATAAGGGGGCTTCTAAGAAGTGTGGCGCTGTGGGTTAATGCGCTGGATTGTAAAGTTGGTTTGAACCACAAGGTCGGCAGTTCAAGCTCACCAGCCGTTCCTCGAAAACACAATACAGGGTCACTGTGGGTCAGAACCAACTCGATGGCAGTTAACAACTAAGCAATGTACAAGGAGCCCTGGTGGCACCATGGTTAAGTGCTTAACTGCTAACCAGAAGGGTAAGCATATTCCCTAAGTCAACAGCTAGCTATTGTAAACAAGTCCAAGCAAAGGCACAGGAATCTATCTATAGTCCAAATAAATCAGATATTATCATACAGAGCCCAAACTACTCTGTCTGAGTTCCAGAGCTCTGTCAGAAGCTGAATGTTACCTACCCTGTTATTTCTCATCATTCCCTACCAAAACCCTTTTTTCTAATTAGACCGATATTCTGAGTTTCCTGTATGAACCATATATCACTTCCTCTGGGTCTTACCTAATGCTGTGTGTTACCTCTACATAAGTTGACTGAACGTTATAGAAGCAAAACTGAGCAATTATTCTTTCGTTATTTCAACTAATTTATAATTTTTGTTGTTAAGTACAGTCAAGTTGATTCCATCAAAAACAATCAGTTGTCATTGAGCCAACTTTGATTCACGGTGACCTCAAGCATTTCAGAGTAGAACCGTGGTCCACAGGACTTTCTAGGCCTGATTTTTCTAAAATGCATTGCCAAGACTTTCTTCCAAGGCACCTCTGCCTGTGCTTGAACCTCTAACCTTTCATTTACAGCACAGTGTGTTAACCATTTTAACCACCCAGGGAGTTAATACAGTATAAGAGCGCTTCAAAAAGTTCATGGAAAAATGTCCTTAAAAGATAATTGAATTTCTCCATGAACTTTTAAAAGACCCCTTGTAATACTGTGGCTTATTGGCTGTCTACTCTGGGTCTCAGGCTGTATCAGGAGATTTAGACACATCTTAACCTCATAAAGGTTCCCATGAACAAGATTATCTTCATAGTTTTGTAAAGATCACAGATGCTCAGACAGATTAACCGATTGCTTCACACACTGATAGGGTTGAGACTGGCATGCCAGTTCAAGTTCCTTTTAATGGCACTCCATTAACTTTTAGAGTAAGTGGCTGCAAAACAAACAAACAAACAAAAAAAAAGCAGATACCACAGAGTAGATTTCAACTAATGGAAGGAAAATTGTGCAAGTCTTTGAAGGAGGCAAAAGATTCTTTCCATGTCTAGAGGGCCTTTTCAGTCATCTGATGCTACAGGGGCTTCCACATTTCATTTCCTTTAAGCTCTTTTCTAATTCTGTAAGTTATAGAAGCTTGATGACAACAAATCAGTTTTGTCCACAGAATGCAATGAGTTTTGTCTGATGAAGATGAAATTAATTTATGTCTTATGGAAGAGGCTAGCTTTACATCTTTACATCTAATAAGCAAATTCATTTCAATATTGATTGTCCTTGCATTTGTCAGATCTTTGGCTTTTGCTTTAGTTATAATATCTTAATGGTTTCCTTATTAATGAATAAGTTAAATAAAACCTTTGACATGGTATTTTATATTTGTATGAGATTCACTATTTTTCCTTTTTTGAAACTCTTTTAGCTTCTAGAACCTCTTCTGTCTTAACCACATGTTTTGAAGTATGTATATTTGTATACACACAAAATATTTTTCAAAATTCATATGCTGTTTCTTGACTACATGTACTAAGATAATACTTTTTATGTGTCATTCTCAAGGCATGTTTAAATTTTTATTTATTAAATGCTTAAATATCACTACATGCCATATACTATTCTAAACACTTTATATTTATGAACTTATTCAATTTTCTCAACAACCCTAACTGCAAGGTTGGTGGTTGAAACCCGCCAGCTACTCCTTGGAAATACTAAACAGGGTCCCTATGAGTCAGAACCTATTCTATGGCACATAACAAAATAGCACCCCAGATATTCTGAATCAGAACCTGTATTTCAACAAGATTCATACAAGTGAATTATATGTATTCAAAATGCCTTGTTAAAAAATGTAGATTCTGATTCAGTGTATCTGAGATGGAAACAGAATGAAACTGTTCAAACCCCTGATAAATACAAAAGCAAGGATATAAACCCCAAGCCTTGTAATTCCTACTTCCATGCTCTTTATTCAGAAAATCTGATACTTCATTCTTCTTGCCTGAATCATTTTCTTATGAATGTTTCTGTTCTTGAGTATTTTCATTAAAAACAGACTAAGTTCTTAGGTTCCAAGAGATGACATTTTCATTACTCATAA